TCATGCCTGTGATCCCAGCACTTTGGGAGGCCAAAGCGGACGGATTATGAGGTCAGGAGATCGAGACCATCCTGGCTAACACAGTGAAATCCCATCTCTACTAAAAATACAAAAAATTAGCTGCATGTGGTGGCAAGTGCCTGTAATCGCAGCTACTTGGGAGGCTGAGGAAGGAGAATCATTACAGGCATGAGCCTGGCCTGAAACAGGAGTTTGAAGGAAGAGCAGAATGTAGAAAGTTCTTAACGTTTGCATTCTAGTTAGAGCTGCATGAGTTCTGGAATGGTGAGGAATTCTTGTCCAGTCTGTGTACCTCTTTAGAACCCTCCTTGGTGTTATAAACCCCCTGATGTATTGTGGTCCTCCTCCTTGTCGTCTACCAAGGAGATAAACAAGACTTCTCTCAATCTCTAGCTCTGACGTGTACAGAAATATTAGGGGTACAGTTATGTGACACAAACTATTTCCTCTTTAATTTCCAAACTAACCATTTTTTCTCCTTTGAGATAAAATTTAGAGTGAAATGCACAGATCTTGAGTGTACACTGTAATGAGCTTTAAAAAATGAGTAGCCAGGCTGGGTGTGGTGGCTCATGCCTGTAATTCTAGCACTTTGGGAGGCCGAGGTGGGTGGATCACCTGAGGTTGACAGTTCGAGACCAGCCTGACCAACATGGAGAAACTGTCTCTACTAAAACTACAAAAAATTAGCAGGGGGTGGTGGCACATACCTGTAATCCCAGCTACTCAGGAGGCTGAGGCAGGAGAATCACTTGAACCCGGAAGGCAGAGGTTGTGGTGAGCCAAGATCGCACCATTGCACTCCAGCCTGGGCAACAGGAGTGAAACTCTATCTCAAAAATAAAATAAAATAAAATAAAATAAAATAAAATGAAAAATAAATGATTAGCCAATTCCCCCAATCAATATAGAAAATATTTCTATAGGCCGGGCGCGGTGGCTCAAGCCTGTAATCCCAGCACTTTGGGAGGCCGAGACGGGTGGATCACGAGGTCAGGAGATGGAGACCATCCTGGCTAACACGGTGAAACCCCGTCTCTACTAAAATACAAAAAAAATTAGCCGGGTGAGGTGGCGGGCGCCTGTAGTCCCAGCTACTCGGGAGGCTGAGGCAGGAGAATGGCGTGAACCCGGGAGGCGGGGCTTGCAGTGAGCTGAGATCCGGCCACTGCACTCCAGCCTGGGCAACAGAGCCAGACTCTGTCTCAAAAAAAAAAAAAAGAAAATATTTCTATAACTAGAAAAATTCCTTTGGGGCTCTTCCAGTCAATTCCCATTACTTCCACCCTTTAGAAAACCTGTTTTGCTTTTTATCACCAAGATTAGCAATTCTTATACTCTTCTGCAGGACTCGTGATAACACATTGCTGAACCACACCCTGTGTCATTCAGTAGGTCTGAGATGAAGTAACATGCATTTCAAAGTTCCACACTAATATGGATGCTCCTGGTTTGGGAACTAAATGAGAATCACTCACATTTTATGTAAAACTTAACCTTTTTTTTTTTTTTTGAGGTGGAGCTTTGCTATTTTTGCCCAGGCTAGAGTGCAATGGTGGGATCTTGGCTAACTGCAACCTCCACCTCCTGGGTTCAAGCAAGTCTCCTGCCTCAACCTCCCAAGTAGCTGGGATTACAGGTGTGTGCCACCATACCCAGCTAGTTTGTTTTTTTGGTAGAGACAGAGTTTCACCATGTTGGCTAGGCTGGTCTCAAACTCTGGATCTCAGGTGATCCGACCCCCTGGGCCTCCCAAATTACTGGGATTACAGGTGTGTGCCACCGCACCTGGCCCTTTTTGTGTGTGTGGGACGGAGTCTCACTCTGTTGCCCAGGCTGGAGTGCAGAGGCACAATCTTGGCTCACTGCAACCTTCACCTCCTAGGTTCAAGCGATTCTCCTGCCTCAGCCTCCTAAGTAGCTGGGATTATAGGCATGTGCTACCACGCCCAGCTAATGTTTTTGTTTTTTGTTTTTGAGGTGGAGTTTTGCTTTTGTTGCCCAGGATGGAGTGCAATGGCTGATCTTGGCTCACCACAACCTCTGCCTCCCGAGTAGCTGGAATTACAGGCATGTGCCACCACACCCAGCTAATTTTTGTGTTTTTAGTAGAGACAGGGTTTCTCCATGTTGGTCAGGCTGTCCTCGAACTCCCAACCTCAGGTGGTCTGCCCCCCTCGGCCTCCCAAAATACTGAGATTACAGGCGTTAGCCACTGTGCCTGGCCTAATTTGGTATTTTTAATAGAGACAGGGTTTCACCATGTTGCTCAGGCTGGTCTCAAACTCTTCCTGACCTCAGGTGATCCACCCGCCTGGCCTTTCAAAGTGCTGGGATTACAGGTGTGAGCCACCACACCCGGCCAATTTTAACTTTATTTGAATACAGAGATTGTCTTTTTGTTACTTTTCTTTCCAGACTTTTTTTTTTTTCTTGAGGCAGGGTCTCTGCTCTGCTGCCCAGGCTGGAAGGGCAGTGGTGCAATCACGGCTCACTACAGCCTCGACCTCCAGCTCAAGCAATCCTGCCATTTTGGCCACCCCAGTAGCTGGGACTACTAGCCACAAGCCGCCACAGCTGGCTAATTTTTGTATTTTGGTGAAAGGGTTTCAACGTGTTGCCCAGGCTGGTCTCGAACTCCTGGGTTCAAGTCATCTGCCAGCCTCAGTCTCCCAAGTGTTGGGATTACAGGTATGAGCCACTGCCCCTGGCCTCTGTGGCCCTTCACAAATGGCTATGTCTCTCATTCAAAGCAAGGTAGACTCAATTAGCCTTAGACAACAGGTGTAATCCAGACTAATTGTTCCCTCATGATTAGATTTACATTATCTTTTTGGCAATGATATTGTGTACTTCCCATTGTTCATCAGAAAAGACATTTTAGTTTGTAACATTCTTGGTGGTGCTAAATTGGAATCCTTGGTTAAGGTGGCTGTAGCTAAACTCCAATTTTTGTGTCCATAAACTCCATCATGCCAAAATGTAGAAATTTTATTTCCATCAGCAATGTGGTCAGAGGCCCTGACCAACATTTACCCTTGGAAGCTGCCATGTCCCTTTGGTGCCAAGAGAAATTTGGAAGGCTGGCTCCAGGTTTCCCACACCAGTTACAACGTGGGCACAGACCTATTTGTACAAATGTTACCTTAACATCCAGATGGGATATTGGGAATACAAACCTCTTCTCTCAGCTCCCCCACAAAACAGCAAGATGTCATGCCTCTGCCAGGGAACTCATCTGAGACACAGGGAGTTTATAGCTCCAACTGTCTTCCTCTTAGTATTCTGGGAGTATAGCCGGCAGACAGGGAAGGGGGGACTGAATGTGGTGATAGGAACTTTGGGGGACTCCTGTGAAAATTAGGGTGATTTGGTGAGTTATGTAACTTTAAAATTTTATCTTGTCGGGGCAAGAAGGATGAGTAAATAAACTGTCTTACTGGTAGACTCCAATTATTAATTTATTTTGTATAGAGAGAAATTTAAGTTTATTGACATGTGTTAGAACCAGGGAGGTATCTACCAGCAGAATAATAAAGCAAAGGAAATTTCCAAATTAATAGAAAGGAAGGAAACGGAATAGAAACTTGACCCATCCAAAGAAAGCAGGATAGAAGTTTCAAAAGGAAACAAAATTAAAACGAACAATACACACAGTATAAGAAAAAAATGTCTATTATTTATTACACTGAACAATTCTGACCACCAACAACCAATGGGGTCCAGGAGAGAAGAACATCTTGCTTCTCAACAAACTTTCCTCCCTTGCTTTAACATTTTTGAGGATTCTTTCCCAAACCTATTACACATCTGTATTATGATGGTTACATATTTTCCAACTCTGCCACTCCTTCCAGTGCATTATTTTTAGTATCTTCATTAAAGGTGCAAAATAAAATAAAATAAAAATAATAGAAATTCCGTACTTGTAATAACAAAACAATGTTGGAAACTGTCATTAAATCAGGACAAGTGAAAAACAGATCTGTTCCCAGACTCACAGGACTATAAATTTAGGAAGTACACAAAAAAATTAAAAATTAATTACACTCAATAGGATACATTAAATATGTACAGTTTTTGTATGTCAATCATACCTAAGTAGTTTTAAAAACAAATGATCCGACCCATACCGCCAACTAATAAAGAACAAACAAATGAGTCATACAAAAGAAAAATCACACATTTTGGTTTACTCCTACTTTTAAGAACACTAACAATAAAATTTGCATGCAACGAATACGGTTCCCTAAATACAACAGATGAATTATTTTATATACACATCTTATTTTTATTTATGGAGAATCGGTTAATAAACACATTTTAAGTTCAACATATTATGTATTTATGAGTGGAAAGCAACCTTAAACATTTTAAACACCAGAAATATACAAAACAATTATAAGTGAAATAATACAAAGTCCTTGTGTTTTGATCCTGGAGTCAAACCACAGAAATCTCAGGTTAAGAGAACTTTGAAAAATATTGTTTCGAATATTAAAAATCATGTGTTTGAGGGAGGGAGAGAATTAACAGCCTTTATTTGCCTTAAAATACTTTATGTTTTATGAAATTGCAATTGGAATGAAGCAGCTCCTAAAGTAGTCAGTGTTCAGAGGAAGAGAAAATAGAGCACAAGAGCCAGTTGAGTTTTACTGAACTCCTTCACAATGCTCAGCTGAAGAACTTCTCACTTAAAAGACCTGAAGATCAGGCACATTGGCTCATGCCCATAATCCCAGTATTTTGGGAGGCCGAGGCGGGTGATCACTTGAGTCCAGGAGTTTGAGACTAACCTGGCCAACATAGGGAAACCCCATCTCTACTAAAAAAAAAAAAAAAAAAAAGCTGGGTGTGGTGGCTGGTGCCTGTAATCCCAGCTACTCGGGAGGCTGAGGCAGGAGAATCACTTGAACTCAGGAGGCAGAGATTGCACTGAACTGAGATTGAACAAGTGCACTCCAGCCTGGGCAACAGAGTGAGACACTGTCTCAAAAGACAAAACAAAACAGAGCTGCTGCTGAAGTCATGTCTATTTTAGAAAAGTAGTACGAATGAGTTTTTCTATATATTAGCTACAATTTATGGTAATTTGCTAAATGTTTTTCCGTTTTTAAATCTGAGAGTCTCTATCTCCACTCACAAAGCAACAGGCACTGCTAGGGCTCTTAAGCTAACATCTGCCACCCCACCAGTCTGCATGGTCCATAAACAGGTGTGCAGAGGACCAGAGTTCACCTGTCAGCAGCCCCGCGGAATCCGACTCTCCAGACTTTCTGCCATTAATTATCATAGATGTGGCCTTTTTCCTGATATTCTATTCCCATTGGAGGCTTTTTATTAAGACCTTGTTCCTATAAAGCAAATAAAATGTTTGTTTTCAAAAAGATAAGAATCAAGAAATATCAAAAATAGCCAAGAAACCCGTTGCTGGAATGCTGTTGAAATTGCCCTTACAACTTTAGGATCATAGGTAACAAGCCTATGACGCTGTCATTTGAGAATGAAGATCATTAGCCAAGTTAGCATGCCTCTGAAATATGTTCCCCGACTTGTGCGAACCATGGACAAGAGACCTTGGAGGGGCTCTTTGCATCACTTCCCCAAAAACCCAAGTATGTCATTAAAGGACTACCCAAAGTGACCTCCTCACTTCTATTCAACTTGCTTGGCATAGAGAGATTATCAAAATACAGCAAAAAGCAGGATATCCCAAAGGAAAAGCCAATCACACATTCACACACTTCCTCCTGTGGGAGATGGTCTTGCTATGTTTCCCTGGCTGAGAAATTACCGATCCCTCCTTTCCATCTAGTCAATTCTTCCCTTAACCTAAGGAATCTCTTCTTTGATATTCACGTTATTCCAGGTGTTTGTATGTGCACCATCCCTGTTTAGACTGTAGGCTACTTAAAGGAAGAGCTTTTTTACTAGTCATTATTTCTGTGTAGGGCATACACTTTGAATATAGTAATTATACAATGTTTGTTGCTCCCAGAATTCTGTGTCTCCAGGTAGAAGCGTTAAACACTGACACAGAAATGCTTTCTGTTTCCTGGGGATAAACTTAACTGAGTAATGATTTTCTTGAAACTCTTTACTGACAATTTGAGCTTGAAATACATGGCTATATAAGATTAATGTGTATCTTGACTTTCTGCAATTGAAAATCCAGCACCCACTTTTAGTTTGTAGAAAAGCATCAGGTAATTACCTGTGAACACATTTGGGGCACAACATATTGTCTTCAAGATGCGGGGGTGGAAAATTGGAGGCAGGAAGCAAGAAGAGTGCACTCACTCTCCCTTCTTGCTTTTCTGGAACCCAGGCTTGACCAGCATGAAACTGCAGGTGAACCCAACCATCTGTGTCTGCAGGGAGACTTTTCCCATGGACCACACACCACCTGACACCTGGCGAAGGAGAAAGACAGGCACCCACACACCAGGATGGCATACTGATGTAAGGCTGCATTATGGCCCATCACCCTTGATTGACCAACTCCAAGATGTGAACCCTGAAATCCTAACTTAACCTCTTCTCTATTCTGTTCTCCTTTAGAAAAGCATACAAGACAGTTCCTGTTAAAACTTAAAAATCTAGGCGGTGCGCGGTGGCTCATGCCTGTAATCCCAGCACTTTGGGAGGCCAAGGCGGGCGGATCATGAGGTCAGGATATCGAGACCATCCTGGCTAACACTGTGAAAACCCATCTCTACTAAAAATATAAATTAGCCGGGCGTGGTGGCGGGCACCTGTAGTCCCAGCTACTTGGGAGAATGAGGCAGGAGAATGGCATGAACCTGGGAGGCGGAGCTCGCAGTGAGCCATAATCACGCCACTGTACTACAGCCTGGGCGACAGAGCAAGACTCCGTCTCAAATAAATAAATAAATAAATAAATAGATAGATAAATAAATAAATAAATAAAATAAATCTAGTTGGAAGTAGTATAGTTGTAGGTGGGCAGACGGTAGAAAGACTAACCCAGAGTGTCTGGAAAGGGCTTCATGAAACAAGCTCAGGGGCCCCAGCTCTGAACACACATTGGATTGTGCTAAACAGTTGTCTTCTTTTGTTGTATTTTCTGTAATTCTTACAACATATAAGCTAGGTATCGCCCATTTTACAATGAAAACACTGGGAAATATTTTAAATAACTTATTAATGCCATTTTGGGGCTCAGCTGCAAGCAATTAATTTTAGATCTCACTTTTAATTTAAATTGCTTAAAGGGGAAAGAAAGAAAACCAAACTGCTATCCTCTTCTGATGCCATCAATCATTTAAAGCAGTGGTTCTCAAACTGTGGTCCCCAGACCAGCATCCTTACTGCTGCCCGGAAAACTGAGAAATGCAAACTCCCGCTAGGTGCGGTGGCTCACACCTGTAATCCCAGCATTCTGGGAGGCCGAGGCAGGCGGATCATCTGAGGTCGGGAGCTTGAGACCAGCCTGACCAACATGGAGAAAACCCGTCTCTACTAAAAATACAAAATTAGCCGGGCATGGTTGCGCCTGCCTGTAATCCCAGCTACTCAGGAAGGGTGAAGCAGGCGAATCGCTGGAACCCGGGAGGTTGAGGTTATGGTGAGCCAAGATCGCACCACTGCACTCTAGCCTGGGCAACAAGAACGAAACTCTGTCTCAAAAAAAAAAAAAAGAAACAAATGCAAATACTCAGGTCCTGTCCTAGACCCTGAATTAGAAACTCTGTGGGCAGGGTCCAGGAATCGCCGGCCCTCAAAGGCATTTTGATATACCCTAAAAATATATCAGGCATTAATCTCTACTAAGCTTATTTCCCCACTGGACCAGAATAAGCTCTTCGTGTTGGGCTTACCACAGGCCTCTTGTGGAGATTCCACTGCCTCTGGCGTCCTCGCCCTGGCCGAAATTCTCGCCCAGGAGGCCAGCAAAGCCTCTGGGGCAGAAGTTGTCACCACAACTGTATTAACTCCCTCAAGGAGAGCAGTGGAATCTTCCAGGGCAGGCGGCCCCTCCGCAGGGGGAAGGGCCACTTCAGGAGGATGTGTCTCAGAACTTTGCAGGGACGTTTCCCCTTTTTCCACCTTTAATTTTTTTTTCAATGATTTCCGGATTTTGGCCTCTTTTGCTGTGCTAGGAAAATCCTACAGAAAGGGTTAGATAATAAAGATAAAAATAAAGATTAAAATTCTAACAAAAATAAATGGCCTCAGAGTTAAGAAGTTCTTGATCAAATGCAAAGTTTCACTTAGGAGGTCTAGGTTCAAGAGATCCACTGTACAACTTGGTAACTATACATAGTTAATTACAATGTACTGTCTTCTTGAAAATTGCACAGTTGGCTGCACATGGCTCAGGTCTGTAATCCCAGCACTTTGGGAGGCCAAGGTTGGTGAAACACTTGAGGTCAGGAGTTCGAGAACAGCCTGGCCAACGTGGTGAAACCGCATCTCTACTAAAAATACAAAAATTATCCAGGCGTGGTGGTTCATGCCTGCAATCCCAGCTACTCAGGGGGCTGAGACTGGGGTATCACTTGAACCAGGGAGGCGGAAGTTGCAGTGAGCCTGCACTCCAGCCTAGGTGACAGAGGGAGACTCTGTCTTTAAAAAAAAAGAAAGAAAGAAAATTGCTGGCCGGGCACAGTGGCTCACGCCTGTAATCCCAGCACTTTGGGAGACCGAGGTGAGCGGATCATGAGGTCAGGAGTTCTAGACCAGCCTGGCCAACATGGTGAAACCCTGTCTCTACTAAAAATACAAACATCAGCCAGGCGTGGTGGCAGGTGACTGTAATCCCAGCTACTCTGGAGGCTGAGGCAGGAGAATTGCTTGAACCCAGGAGGTGGAGGTTGCAGTGAACTGAGATTGCGCACTGCACTCCAGCCTGAGCAACAAGAGCGAAACTTTGTCTTTAAAAAAAAAAAAAGAAAGAAAGAAAACCTGGGCACGGTGGGGCTCACGCCTGTAATCCCAGCACTTTGGGAGGCTGAGGTGGGCAGATCACCTGAGGTCGGGAGTTCGAGACCAGCCTGACCAACATGGAAAAATGCCGTCTCTATTAAAAATCCAAATTAGCCAGGTGTGGTGGCGCATACCTGTAATCTCAGCTACTCGGGAGGCTAAGGCGGGAGAATCGTCTGAATCCGGGAGGCAGCGGATGCATGGAGCGAAATTCTGTCTCAATAATTATTATAATAATAATAGTAATATAGTATGTAAAGTGATGTATGTATTAATTAGCTTGAGTTAGCCATTCCACAATGTATACGTATTTCAAAGCCATGTGCTGTACATGATAAAAATATATAATTTTTGTCAATTAAAAAAATTTAAGTGCTGCCTCTTTTTATTTTTGAGACAGCGTTTCACTCTTGTGCCCAGGCTGGAGTGCAATGGTGCATCTCAGCTCACGGCAACCTCTGCCTCCTGGTTTCAAGCAATTCTACTGCCTCAGTCTCCTGAATAGCTGGGATTACACACATGCACCACCACACCTGGCTAATTTTTGTATTTTTAGTAGAGACAGGATTTCACCATGTTGGCTAGGCTGGGCTGCCTCATTTTTATTATTCTTTGCAGACTTGGTGAGAAGTAGGGATGGAAGGCCAGGCACAGTGGCTCACACCTGTAATCCCAGCACCTTGGGAGGCCGAGGTGGGCAGACCACGAGGTCAGGAGTTCAAGACCAGCCTGACCAAAATAGTGAAACCCCACCTCTACTAAAAATACAAAAAATTAGCTGGGCGTGGTGGCGGGTGCTTGTAATCTCAGCTACTTAGGAGGCTGAGGCAGGAGAATTGCTTGAATTCCGGAGGTGGAGGTTGCAGTGAGCTGAGATGGTGCCACAACACTCCAGTCTGGGTGACAGTGTGAGACTCCATCTCAAAAAAAAAAGGAAAGCAGGCATGGAAAATACTGTTCTTTCTTAGAACTAGGGGTGGAGGGACAAGCGGAGGCTAAGACAGTTCCTTTACTCACTTTCGAGGCTACAATAGGTAATTAGGATAAGCACTGAAACGTACATCCTTTAAAAAGTTACCTTTTGATTTGGGTAGGCAAAGGCACACAGGCGCTTATATGCATCCAATTTCTAAGACAACAGAAAACTGAGTTAGTAAGGCAAGTAAGGTTCCTACCCTTCCTCCCAGCAGTACCATCCCCAGCCTAGGCCCTCACCTGGCCTTTGGAGCTCAGCTTCAATTGTTGGCACCAGGCCCGCAGAATGTCCCGGTGAATCAGATTAACAGGTGGCAGTTTAGAGGGTAATGGAGGGATTGGTATCTTCCTCTGAGGTCTGGGGTTGTCACTGCACTCTGCCTTCTTCTTAGGACAGAGCACTGAAGGAGAATGGAATCAAATTAGTAGTAATTAACTTTGTGTACCTTTTCAGAATTTCAAAAGTAAAATCACTGTTTTTTTTTTTTTTTTGAGAGTCTTGCTTTGTCGCCCGGCTGGAGTGCCGTGGCACGATCTTGGCTCCCTGTAACCTCCGCCTCCTGGGTTCAAGCGATTCTCCTGCCTCAGCCTCCTGAGTAGCTGGGATTACAGATGCCCACCACCACGTCCGGCTAATTTTTTTTCTATTTTTAGTGGAGGTGAAGTTTCACCATGTTGGCCAAGCTGGTCTCGGACTCCTGAACTTGTGATCTGCCCACCTAGGCCTCCCAAAGTGCTAGGATTACAGGCCTAAGCCACCGCGCCTGGCCTAAAATCAGTTTTAGTTATTAATAGTTCAATCCCTCTCAAACCTAGGACTTACCACTTCTAAATCCCAGTTTTATTCCTCAATCTCCCCACTACTCAGGTACACGTGCTCCTTTGTGAACCCTTTAGTCCACAGAACCCAGGTGGTGGCACCAGAGATGCCACTTCCATCCCAGGGGAATTATCACTGTCTTAGACTTGAGATCATACCTTTGTGAACCCCTTAATCCACAGAACCCAGGTGGTGGCACCGGAGATGGCACTTCCACCCGAGGGGAATTACCGCTGTCTTAGACTTGAGATCATACTCAGTGGTGTCCTCTACACACAGAGCAAACTCAACACCTGACAATGCTACACAGGCAACCACTAATATTCCTAATTCTGCCAGCCCACCCTAGTCAGGGCAGCACTCTGGTTTCATAGCAGGTATGCTTCCTTAGCTGAGCTGTGTTTCTGTTCATCCTCCTTCTGCACCTCACATACCTTGTCTTCATTCAGTAAAGATATTTGGCTAGGCACAGTGGCTCACACTGTAATCCCAGCACTTTGGGAGGCCGAGGTGGGGGGATAACCTGAGGTCAGGAGTTTGAGACCAGCATGGCCAACATGGTGAAATGCTGTCTCTACTAAAAAAAAAAAAAAAAATTCGCTGGGCATGATGGCACATGCCTGTAATCTCAGTTACTTGGGAGGCTGAGGCTGGATAACTGTTTGAATCCGGGAGGCAGAGGTTTTAGTGGGCCAGGATCATGCCAAAAAAATGTCTAAGGCTGGGTCTGGTGGCTCACACCTGTAATCCCAGCACTTTAGGAGGCCAAGGCAGATGGGTCACTTGAGGCCAAGAGTTCACAATCAGCCTGGCCAATATGGTAAAATCCCGTCTCTACTAAAAATACAAAAATCAGCCAGGCATGGTGGCACACGCCTGCAATCCTAGCTAACTTGGGAGGCTAAGACAGGACAATCGCTTGAACCAGGGAGGCAGAGGTTGCAGGGAACTGAGATGGTGCCACCACACTCTAGCCTGGATGACAGACCAACACGCTGTCTTGGTGTCTCAAAAAAAAAAGACACAGCCTGTAATGACACTTACAGTTAGTAGGGTTTACTGTGTACATATTACTTCTTAGGCATAGTGTAAGTACTTCACTTAATTATTCTATGTAAATTTTAACACTCCATTCCCACACCCGAATAAAGGTAGATATTGTTCAAACTTATTTTTAGAATAGGTAGACCGGTTTCAAGAATGGGTCTTCAAATTTACAGCTGTCTGTTCCCAAATCATTGCACATTGAAATTCTTAACTCCAAGTAGCAAGTGAAGGAAAAAATGATCAACAGAACCAAATATGCTGTGGAAGTCTGAAGATAGGAAGGGATCGGTTAGGGCAATGGTGACCAAAAGATGCTTCAGGAAGGTGCAGTTTAAGCTAGACTCCCATGAACTGTAGGATTTGCAAAATATATGACGGAAATTTCTTCCCTGGCTTTTCTTCTTCAGAAAATTCCTCTGGCTTCTAAGACCTGAGAAAGTGGGATTTGAGGATTTGAAGACCTCTTACCTTTATTGCCTTTGACAGACATTTTTTCTTTGGTTCCCTTTGCTGATGTTCCTGGCAAAGCAATCATGTTTGGTTGATTAGAAGTCTGCTGATTCTCTTCCCTTGACTTCTCTGTGGAGGTCTACTGGGAACAGAGGAGCTGGTCAGTCATTCCTCCAGTGTCCAAACCACACATACACTACCTGCCTCAAGATAACTCACTTCTAAGGCACCAAGGCAGTCACTGGACTCCACTGGCAGTGTGGATTCTCCTCTGGGTATCATCTTAATACACACTGTCATGCAGGCCAGGCGTGGTGGCTCACGCCTGTAATCCAAGTGCTTTAGGAGGACAAGGCAAGAGGATCGCTTGAGTCCAGTAGTTGGATACCAGCCTGAGCAACAACAAGTGAAACCTTGCCTCTACAAAAAGGAAACAAGATTAGCTGAGCATGGTGGTATGTGCCTGTAGCCCGAGCTGCTCAAGAGACTGAGGTAGGAGAATCACTTGAGCCAGGGAGGTAGGTAGTGGCTGCATCGCTGCACTCCAACCTGGGTGACAGAAGGAGACTGTCTCAAAAAAAAAAAAAAAAAAAAAAAAAAGAAAGGCCCTTAACTCACCTACTGTATTCCATCATCTCTCACCTGAAGAATTTTTTTCCCCCAATCCTTCATTCTTGACCCCTTCCAAATAAATTATTTTCTAACACTGCTGGCAGAGTGACACATCCTTTCAGTGGTTTATTGCTCTCAGCATAAAAATAATTGTCTTTAACATTACCTACCAGACTCTTACCTTCTATTTCACACTGCTCTCCCTACCCAAGCTCCGGCCGCGTAATTCCTTTCCTTTCCAAAGTTGTTACACATTCCTCAGCCCCAACCTCCACCCTACTTCTATTTACACTTTAAAATCTTATACCTTAAAAATCTTCCTCTTTTAAGTGTTATTTAACCTGGGAACCCCTTCTAGTCCTTTCAGCCAAATCTACTACATACTGTCTCATTTCTACTACTTGTTAATTGCAATTAAATTTGTTTGTGTGATTTGATTAATGATTGACACTCCTCTTGACTATAAGCTCCATGAGGATAGCATTTCTTTCCTTTTCATCATAGGCACTCAATAAATATTGGTTAATTGAATCAAAGGAAGCAAAGTGGGAGTGGAGAAAAGTTGTTTAAACCAGAGACAGTAACGTATATTGATCCCCTGTCTCATACCAGGCATTCGCTTTGATATGTTCCTTATTTTCATTCTTTTTTAAAAAATATTTATTTATTAGCCGGGCGCGGTGGCTCAAGCTTGTAATCCCAGCACTTTGGGAGGCCGAGACGGGCGGATCAGGAGGTCAGGAGATCGAGACCATCCTGGCTAACACGGTGAAACCCCGTCTCTACTAAAAAAAAATACAAAAAAACTAGCCGGGCGAGGTGGCGGACGCCTGTAGTCCCAGCTACTCGGGAGGCTGAGGCAGGAGAATGGCGTAAACCCGGGAGGCGGAGCTTTCAGTGAGCTGAGATCCAGCCACTGCACTCCAGCCTGGGCGACAGAGCGAGACTCCGTCTCAAAAAAAAAAATTATTTATTAAAGAAAAGGGCTTGCTCTGTCACCCAGGCTGGAATGCAGTGGCAGGACGGTAACTCACTCCAATCTCTACCTCCTCAAGTGATCCTTTGCCTCAGTCTCCTGAGTAGCTGGGACTACAGGTACCACCACGCCTGGCTAATGTTTCGTAGAGATGAGGTGTTGGGATTAAAGGCGTGAGCCACAGCGCCCAAGAGCTCCCTATATTCTTTTTATTTGAGAGGAGTCTCGCTCTGTCGTCCAGGCTGGAGCGCAGTGGCACAATCTCAGCTCACTGCAACCTCCACCTCCCGGGTTCAAGCAGTTCTCTGCCTCAGCCTCCCGACTAGCTGGAATTACTGGCGCTCGCCATGACGCCCAGCTGGTTTTCGTGGTTTCACCATGCTGGCCAGGCTGGTCTCAAACTCCTGGCCTCAAGTGATCCGCCCACCTCGGCCTCCCAAAGTGCTGGGATTACAGGCATGTGCCACTGTGCCTGGTCTTGGCCTTCCTTATTTTCATTCATTTAATTCTCATAGCAATCTGGCAACAATTTACTTCTCAGACACAGAAGCTGAGGATCAGAGGTAACATAAAGACACACAGATTAAGAGTACGTTAGATATAAATTAAAATTTAAATATCAAGGCTGGGCTCCGTGGCTCACGCCTGTAATCCCAGCACTTTGGGGAGGCCGAGGTGGGCTAATGGAGGTCAGGAGTTCGAGATCAGCCTGGTCAACATATCGAAACTCAATCACTACCAAAAATACCAAAACTATCTGGGCGTGGTGGTGCGCGCCTGCAGTCCCAGCTAATCCGGTGGCTAAGTCAGGAGAATCGCTTGAACCGGGAGGCAGAGGCTGCAGTGAACCGAGATCGGCTACTGCACTCCAGCCTGGGCGACAGAGTGAAACTCGATTCATTAAAAAAAATAATAATCTCAATTACTTCTTCCTACCACCCTTTTCTCCTGTTACCATTTCCCTCTAGCCCCGATATTCGGTTAATTCTTTCTGACTGGACAAAGCACCTCTTCAAAACAGAAAACCCGGCGGGCAGCAGCGGCGCGCGCCTGTGGTCCCAGCAGCACTTTGGAAGGCCGAGGTGGGAGGATCGCTTGAGCCTGGGAGGTCGAGGTTGCAGTGAGCAGTGATGGTGCCACTGCACTCCAGCCCGGGAGACAAAGTGAGAGACCCTGTTCCAAAACTAACCTGAAAGCCTGATTTTTTAACTTTTTCTTTTGAGATGGAGTTTCGCTCTTGTTGCCCAAGCTGGGGGTGCAATGGCGCGATCTCGGCTCACCACAACCTCCGCCTCCCGGGTTCAATAGATTCTCCTGCTTAAGCCTCCCGAATAGCTGGGATTACAGGCATGCGCCACCACACCCAGCTAATTTTGTATTTTTAGTAGAGATGGGGTTTCTCCATGGTGGTCAGGCTGGTCTCGAACTCCCGACCTCAGGTGATCCGCCCGCCTCGGCCGCCCAAAGTGCTGGCATTACAGGCGTGAGCCACCGCGCCCGGCCTCTTTTTTTCCCACTATCTTTTGACACCCTCAACCTCCTCAACTAACCCTAGAAAACCTCATTTCTTGTCTCCTCACTCCAATATACCAGGCTGCAATCATGTTCTTGGGCTTTACTCTTAAAAAAAAAAAAAAAAAAAGTCAAGAGGAGAAAATTCGAAGGCGCATTCTTTTCTCCTCAATAGAAAAACCAAGAGTGCCCAGGGAAGACAGAAACACGAAGACAAAGACAGAAAACAAATCCACTAAAACTGTACTGACCTCCTTGCCTTTTGCCTTCTCCATACTTGTAGAAGCGGAGCCTCGCAAATGCTTCCAAAATGGCCCCAGCCCTAAGATTGCAGTTTGCAAAGTCTCCTCCCACTTCCTGCCGCCCGAAGACCCTTTTTCTCCCCTCCTCACCTCTTATTTTCTTCTCCCCGTCTGTTCCCTCCCCCACAATTTGTAAATGCTAAAATTGCATTCTTTCTTATTCATGGGGTGACCTTTGTCTGGGTTGAATTACTAATACCATTCCTGGCCCTTTTCTGTGCACTTTAAATGTAATCATCCAAAGTATGGTTCCGGAGACTTTGGGAGATTCAGGACTCCTTCAGAACGATTCTACAGAGAGAGAGAAAAAAAAAAAATGTGGCCAGAGACTTGAGCAGGATGTGTGAAGGGATTTAATAATGGGACTTGTGTAAACAGTAGACTTCAGGGACCAGACTGGCGGCCTGAAGAAAGCTATTTTCTCGTACCAAATACATTCCATTTCCTAAGTTACTCAATCAACTAAAACTCCAGGTTTCTCTGTACTAATACCGAGCATCATTTCATCTGCCAACGAACTAATAATAGTAGCTCTTAAAGTCTATAGAATATTTGTTATTTATTTATTTTGTAGAGGGCAAGTTGGGTGTGGGTGGGGATCTCGCTATTTTGACCAGGCTGGTCTCGAACTCCTGCCCTCAAGTGATTCTCCAGCCTTGTCCTCCCAAAGTGTTGGGATTACAGGCGTGAGCCACCACTCCCAGCCCAAGTATTTTTTTATATCTCAAATTGAGGGTTTAAAACTCAGTCATTATTGTTCCCCATTTTATATATGACTAAAGTTTGGTATAAAATTTTATTGGTAATTTTTCCAATAGCACAGTAAGTGAACCCCTAACCTACTGACTCCCAAAGAAGTTCAAGTTTTTCTCCTTAAAATAATTTGAAAAATCCTTCCTCAGATCAATGTTCCCTGTCAGGTTGTCAAGAGATGTGAAGTGAAGGAAGCAGTGGCTGTGCGACTGAAACCCTCCCTTGTCAGGGTCCAAAGTCTCCTTCGTTCTTTGGTTTACTTTGTTGTATTTTTTTCGCTTGTCCTAAAATGATAAATAAGAGACCATCTTTAATCCAAATGGTGTTAGTAATCTGCTCACAGGGTAGAAATCCACGGACAGAGAAAGTAAGTAAACGGAGCCCAGGAATGGAGAAGGAAGTGCAGGTTGTGGACTGGGCAACCCCCAAGGTGGCAAAGAGGAAACCAGGTGAGTTGAGGTCATCTGGGAGATATTAGGGCTTTGATTTAACAATTCTTTACTACAGCCTTTGATAACCACCAGTACGACTTACTAGTTAAGGTTTGTGTATAGAGTGTATAATTGAATCATCTTTCTTTTCTCGGTGTAATTGAATGTAACATTCAGAATAATTGGAGTTCTGGGCTGGGCGTGGTGGCTCGTGCCTGTAATCCCAGCACTTTGGGCGGCTGAGGTGGGCAGGTCACTTGAGTTCAGGAGTTTGAGACCAGCCTGGCCAACAATGCAGAACCCCTTCTCTACTCTAAAAATACAAAAAGTAGCCGGGTGTGGTGGTGCGTGCCTGTAATCCCAGCTATTGAGGAGGCTGAGGCAGGAGAATTGCTTGAGCCGGAGAGGCAGAGGTTGCAGTGAGTCGAGATGGTGCCCCCACACTCCAGCTTGGGTGACAGAGTGACACTCCGTCTCAAAACAAACAAACAAACAAACAGAATAATTGGAGTTCTGAATTAAATATAAACTGAGGCACTGAAACATCTAATTCTGGGCAAGGTACAAACTAATTTGGTAAGAACAGATGGAGTGTATACTGGGATTAATCATTTATAAATTATTGGGTCCACTACTATTTCTGGGAACACAATTCTAAAAGAATTGCACCAACCATTTAAAACATGGGTTAGCTGACATCCTATACATAAAATAAATTAGTACAATTTAATTTAAAATGTTCGGAAAGGCCGGGCGCAGTGGCTCACGCCTGTAACCCCACCACTTTGGGAGGCCGAGGCAGGCGGATCACAAGGTCAGGAGATCGAGACCATCCTGGCTAACGTGGTGAAACCCCGTCTCTACTAAAAATACGAAAAATTGAGCCAGGAGAATGGCGTGAACCTGGGAGGCGGAGTTTGCAGTGAGCCGACATCATGCCACTGCACTCCAGCCTGGGCGATAGAGCGAGACTCCGTCTCAAAAATAAATAAATAAAATAAAATAAAATAAAATGTTTGGAAATAATATTACTGAGTTCTGGAAATAAGCAAAAAGCCAAATATGGTCGGCTCCTGCCTGTAATCTCAGCATTTGGAGGGGCTGAGGTAGAAGGATTGCCAGAACCGGGGAGTTTAAGACCAGCCTGGGCAATTTAGTGAAATCCTGTCTCTACAAAAAATAGGAAAGAAATTAGCTGGGTGTGGTGACACGTGCCTGTAGTTCCATCAGGAGGCTAAGGTAGGAGGATCACTTGAACCCAGGAATTTGAGGTTGCAGTGAGCTGTGATCATGCCACTGCACCCTAGCCTGGGCAATAGAGCCAGACCCTGTCCCTTCTCCTCATGAAAAAGCAAAAAAAAAAAAAAAAAAAAAAAAGTTAAATATCTTTTTGTCAGGTTTGTTGGAGTTGTAATTTACAGGTAGTTTGGAGCAGAGTGCAACCTATTTGTGCATTGGTTTCTGAAATGTAAAGTAGGAATAACTGCAAGTTTATTGTGTTTTCTGAGAAATAACTAATTTTGTGTGTAAAATTTCCTACAAATATTTGGTAGTAAAAAAAAAAAACTTTACTGCTATTTTTAATGTTATAATTCCAGTGCCTACACTTCTATCTTGATTTCAAAAAGTATTCATAATTGAACAACCAAATCTCCCATTCACTTATTGAATAAAAATGTATTAAGTGCTTTTTTTTTTTTTTGAGAGGAAGTCTCGCTTTGTCACCCAGGCTGGAGTACAGCCTCCACCTCCTGTATTTAAGCGATTCTCATGCCTCAGCCTCCAGAGTAGCTGGGACCACTGGCTCATGCCACCACACCCATCTAATTTTTGTATTTTTAGTGGAGATGGGGTTTCCCCATGTTAACCAAGCACTTGAACTCCTGACCTCAGATGTTCCGTCTGCCTTAGCCTGCCAAAGTGCTGGGATTACAGGCATGAGCCACCACGCCCGGCCCACATGCTTTCAAAATATATTTTATTTATATGTATAATCAAAACAAATGCAAACTGTTCAATTATGACCCTTGCAAAGCAGGATAATTCCGTGTGTATGACAACCTACAATAGAGGTTTTTATTTTGTTTTGTTTATAGAGATGAGGTCTCACTGTTGCCCAGGCTGGTCTCGAATCCCTAGGTTTAAGTGAGCCTCCCTCCTTGGCCTCCCAAAGTTCTTGTATTATAGGCATGAGCCCCTTGCCCTGCCCTGCAACAGGGGTTTTGAAGTCAGAAAAGTATCAGATCTAGAGGAGGTGGGGAACTGAACTAACTGAATAGGGGAAGGGAAGGATGAGCTCTGGGAAGAAGGCACCCCACTCCTGAGACAGCTCAGCATGGTCAGGGACTGAAAGAAGAGCAGTGGGGCTGGAGCTCAGAGAGGGAGGGGTTAAGTGTGAGCTGAGTGGGATAGGTAGGCCTTCTGATCTTTAGGTTGAGGACCACAGGGAAGCTACTGAAATATTCAAGGTGTGGGTAAGGATGGGCTGACTCTGATGAGTATTTTGTAAAGCCCTCTCAACTTCAATGAGAAAGAAATGGGGATGATCAGAGACGGCACAGAGGTGAGTTAGGAGGCTACTGAGCAGCCTTGAGACTGGAGAGGAAGTATGGACTGTGTTTAAGAGCACAGACCCCAGGGCCGGACATGGTGGCTCAAGCCTGTAATCCCAGCACTTTGGGAGGCCAAGGCAGGTGGATCACGAGGTCAGGAGTTCAAGACCAGCCTGGCCAATATGGTGAAGCCCCGTCTCTACTAAAAATATAAAAATTAGCTGGGCGTGGTGGCACATGTCTGTAATCCCAGCTACTCGGGAGGCTGAGGCAGGAGAATTGCTTGAGCCCAGGAGGCGGAGGTTACAGTGAGCGGAGATTGCGCCATTGTACTCCAGCCTGGGCGACAGTGTGAGACTCCATCTCAAAATAAAAAATAAAATAAAAATAAAACATAGCAGGGCGCAGTGGCTCACGCCTGTAATTCCAGCACTTTGAGAGGCCGAGGCACGCGGATCACGAGGTCAGGAGATCAAGGCTATCCTGGCTAACACGGTGAAACCCCCGTCTCTGTTAAAAATACAAAAAATTAGTCGGGCGTGGTAGTGGGCGCCTGTAGTCCCAGCTACTCGGGAGGCTGAGGCAGGAGAATGGCATGAATCCGGGAGGCAGGGTTTGTAGTGAGCCGAGATCGCACCACTGCACTCCAGCCTGGGCAACAGAGCGAGACTCTGTCTCAAAAAAATAAAAATAAAAATAAGAAATAAAACATAAAAGCACAGACACCAAATCCAGGCCAGACTGACTGATTTTTAAATGTAAGGCTTTAGCAGCTAGCCAGACAGGATTTAAACCCCAATCTCCCCTTCACTAGCTGTGTGACCTGGGCAGTAACTTTAAGTCTCTTTCTTTTCTCATCTGTAAAATGAGGCTGATGAAAATAATAGCTTTTACTTAGAGGGTTGTGGGCGTGTCTGGAGAACACAGTGTCTGGCACAGCACATGTTGGGATCAGAAGAGTGGGGCGTGGTGGCTCCGGTGGCTTATGGCAGTAATCCCGGCACTTTGGGAGGGAGGAGAATCGCTTGAGCTCAGGCAATATAGTGAAACCCCATTTCTACCAAAAATACAAAAACTTACCAGGTGTGGTGGCGCACGCACGGGTGCCAGCTCCTCCAGAGGCTGAAGTGGGAGTATGGCTTGAGTCCAAGAGGTGGAGGTTGCAGTGAGCCGATATCATGCCACTGTACTCGTCTGGGTGACATAGTGAGACCCTGTTTCAAAAAAAAAAAGGACCAAAAAAAAGAGAGAGAGA